GGGGGGGGGGGGGGGGGGGGGGGGGTGATCAGAGGTGGGTGATCAGCTGTGCTCCAGTTAGTCTGATAGGTCTGCTGGGGGACTACCCAATCCATCTGGTTGCTGGGCTCTGTACCTCCATGGCTTTTCAGCTGGAGCTGTGAGATAGGACACTTCACCTGTGCAGCCTATTTCTTTTGGAAGCAGGTTCAGAGTTGGAACTATCAACCTCATATAAGACCAAATGCAGATATACCGTGAGGCCAATATTCACATTAATAAGCAGAAGGCAGAACTTTGCCCAGCAACTTTTTTTTCCCATGTTGGTGCATGTTGGAGAAAATTGCAGACTACGTCTTCCAGGGTTATTAGAAGACTTGTGGGGCAAGGCCTGAACGTACCGAATGGTTTGTTTGTTTGTTTTTACTTGTACCCATTGTTTTTTAATGGTAGCCAAAGGAATATTGAACTAATTTCCTTCATTTTCAGTCCTAGTAAGAGAAGAAGCACTCCACACCCAATGTGGGCCACCTTTTCAAGTAAAGCAAAATACCTCTGAAACAATGAAAATGACAGTCCAAACTCTGCACCCTGCACCACCATACATTGACAGAAGTTAGATTTTCCTGCCACTAGGTGATGTTGGATAGAAAGGGAAAAGACATCCAGGAACCCAACTGCTGCCCTGAAACTACCCCATATTGCATTCTGTGAGAGAAGCAACCTATTGACCTCATTTGCTCAGTTGCAGCAAAAGGGAGGCTGTGGAGGAAGCCCTTTTTATATTAATATACATTTCTCCCATCCTTGATATGGGAGAAAAGCATGTTACAATGTGGATAAACCCATAGAAGATGTAGCAGCAGGAATTGTGAATGACAAAAGAGAAATCCATATTTAAATTGTGGTGTGGGTATGTATTTACATACATTAGATATCCTTACTTTACTATAATGAACACCCGCCCTTAATAAGGAGCTCCTTGTTCCATGCCAGTATTGCAAGGCAGCTGTCCCTTGATGAACAGCACAGCAGCATCTCTTCCTTCTGCTTTAGCTATTTGTTTTTGCTGAGTTCTGCAATTTGGGGCCTCTCTGGCAGTCAATTAAGCAGCCAGACAGACTTCCAAGGCTTATAATTTACTATTGGGCAGTTAATATTCTATAAAGGTAGGAAGCAGAAAAGGGAGGGGTGAAAGGTTTGGACAAGAAAAAGATGGAAAGAAAGACAAAAAGAGGGAGCACAACATACAAACAGAAAAAAAGCATTCCTTCCCAGGAGATGCCTAAGATTGTGGTAGCTGGATAATACATAAATGTAAAAAAGAATCCTCCCCATACCTGCTCCTGCACAACTTATAAAGAATCTTCAAACAGCAAATAATGTGCTTCCTTGCAGCTTACAAGGATCTTGGCTTCTTGTTCAATAAGGCCATTAATGTCCAACAACTTTTCAAATATTTTGAACACCTTTGAAAAGCCTTCATATGGATGTCCTCCAGATCTTCGGGGAGTACATTTCCTAACTTTCCCACTGTTCATTAGCTATGCTGTTTAGAATTCTGATAATTGCTTCAATATATCTAAGGACCTATAGGGACCTACGTGTGGGTTTCAGGGAAGCATCAAGTTTGAATAGCATTTTTGTTTTCTGAACATTACCTGATTGCTTGATT